ACAGTGATCGTTTCTACTAACTGTTACAAAAGATTTTTGAAAGATGAACACATTTCAAGGCTTTAGTTCAGTAGGAGTTACTTTTTAAATACTTATTTAATCTGGATAGCATACACTCTGAACTGTCTGTCTCTCGCCCTCGAATACTGATTATTTCGTGAAAAATGATTGCTTTCAAAAAAAATGGTTTTTCTACTAACAATCAACTTCTTTGGTCGAAACTCCAGCTTTTATAGAAAAAAAGAATTTTAGAATCATATCGTTTTGAGAGAGAAAGTACGAGCCGCTTGAATCATGTTCTTCACTTTATTCAAACTCATTTACACTCTAGAAAAATATTTGAAACCCATTAAAATCTCATACAATAACCAAAAGTAGTACAGAGTCACAAAAGTTTTTCTGTGAAAATATAAGTTTCTTCATGAAGTTTAATGAAAAAATTTTCAACTAATAAACTTTGAAGCTATAATTCGTTCTTCTACGTTTTAGAACATATAAAACGTTAGGTACTAAAAATTAATCTACATCGGACATGTTTTTCGAAAAAGAATTGCTCTTTAAAATCTGACTTTAATCACATTTCAAATCAGACTGACTGTGAAAACCATCGAATGATATGTTTTGATTTTGCTAAAAACTCATCAGATGATCAGAATTCGTAATATGATGATCAGATTGTACGGAATACTTGTGAAAGTATTATAGCTGTTGCTTATTTAAAAAGACATCAAAATAATAATAATAGTTAGAAGGATGTGGATGACAGACGGACACACAGAGCGTTTTAACAGCTACGCGTTGGATCCGCGATCTGGAATGATTGATCTTGATTTATAATAAATCAATAAAACTATTTACACGAAATGTCGTTGGCGAGTAGATCATCATAATAAACAATATCATCGTCATTTTCTTCTTCATTGAAATCCTAGATACCAAAAGGAAAAGAATAGCATCAGAGCTTTATTGAGAAGTATAGATTTCTGATAATATAAAGGGTGTTTAACTAAAGCGATTTTTACACAAGACACTGTTTCATATTGAAAATGAGTTGGTGCTTTTCCCTTAAGCTGCTCTTTCCCCATTCCGTCCTACCCCTCAGCTTATGAGGCTAAAAGAAAGGATTTAATCAGTCCATAGAGATATGTTCAATATAACAACGAAAGAACTCAGTAAGAATCACTTCTATTAAAAAGATGTGTAAACGAAGAGTAATTCAAGGAATTCATATCCATAAATTGGGTTTTTACAAAATAACCACTATATTCTGAGTTGCAATCAACAAATGTGACAATGTATTTTTTCCCCTATGCATGGTGTCCTGTGAGTAAAATTTTGATGAAAAATATTATATCATCAAAAAAATGAAGCTTTTAATGTTTTGTTTCACACTGATTCCAAATATTGTGCTTATTTTACATAAAGTTGATTTTGGGTAAGCAAAATCTCGCAATACAACATCGTATAGGCGAAGAAATCTTCAAATGTTATCTTTTTCCTTGGAAGATACGGTAAAAAATATCTCGTGTCTTACAAAACGGTTCATTCGTCTACCGTCGAGTTTAGACGGTGGCTTGTCTTGCTTTTTTTAATTTTAACTGAATAAAAAATAAACTAGCACACTCTTACGTTATATTATTTGTTGTGCAAAAGTGACTGATGATAAATTGAATAGCGGTCGGTGGCTTATTTACTTTTCTCTTCACTCTCCGCCAGAAATCACTTGCTTTTTGTAAGATTCGATTCGAGCTAGTACTATGTTTCTTTGACTTTACTTAAATCGATACTAAGTTTTATCTGTCTTAAGTTTGTTTACTTTTTTATAGATTTTTCCGGTATCATAATCTATTTGTCGCTGTGACTGTATCATAAAATAACCAAATAAGTGAACACATATTTACTGCTTTTAAAGCATTCTTTTTTTCGAAATTGAAAACACTTTTTTTCCTTTTTCCTAGGTTATTTTTCAAGAGCTATGCAGATTTATGAAAATAATAAACCGTCTCGTTGAAACAATTTTCTTTGTACTTAATCTTCATATTGAAGTGTATTTATTCTGAAATCAGTAAGTCATAGATTAGTTGAAGTGCCTAATTGTCTAAAAAGGACGGTTGTTAGACACGCGCTTAGATTGGTGTAAATGATCGAATCAGGAAATTTTAAGACACGTCAGTGTCTAAAATCGGTTATCCGTTGTCATTTGAAGTGTCTAAATTGAACATATTGGAACCAATCAGAAATAGTCCGAATCATCTCATCTAGACGGATGGCTCGTCTTATTTAAGCACTTCATATGTCTTAATTTTTTAGAGTGGACATACTTACATGATTGACTATTTTTTCGGATGTTTTGGTCACAGTTGATTCTAGTTCAGACATCCTTTCTCTATGAACGAGAAAAATTTCTAAAACTTGAGTTGTAAACTTCTAATGTATCTATAAAAGAATATCTGTATATATTGATATAATAGGAAAAAACCTGTTCATTTCTTCTAAATAAGCAGATGATGCATGTTTTTCTCCTGAAAAAACTTTCGAGTATGACTAGATTAAAGAGAAAAAATAAAAGACGATATGTTAGAGTCGGTTGGTATAAATTAATTATACCTTTTAATAGCTTGACTTTTCTTCTATAACATTTTATTCTGCATCGGATAAAAAAATTTTCTGTACCAAACATGTAGAAGAAACCTTTTTCTACACAAAAATGGTTTTAGTTTTTCAAAATATTGCTCAAGGACGAATCTACGCCTGTTTTTCTAAGAGAACCTCTCGAATAATTGATTTAACCTACGTGGGATGAATCAATTATTCTATATATTTTTAGCTGGATCATGTAAAACCTAATCTTTAAAAAATTTATTGTAACGAAAAATGAATCGAGCGTTTCATTACTACTGCAGTATATATTTTATTGGTGATCAACAATGAGAAACTGGCGGAGTAGTGTTACTGCTATTCTCGGTGTACGACATTCACTACACTATTCGATCAGTCCAATTCTGACTATTTCATACAGAACACATGTTTATATACGAGAAAGGAAACTAGGAAGAAGAGATGAAAGATTCAATAGAGGCCAGAATGAACAGACAGCTACTATCAATCGGTCATGGGGTCAGAGAATCCAGCCACATAGTGACCGATTGTTCTAACATCAGTTGACCGATACAAGATGCATACAGGTCGTGACCTTATTATCGGCACATTGATATGTCCTATTTCGAAAATTTTAACATCATGAGGAAATCCATACATTTTTCTTCAATCCTAAATTAATTCGAACAATCTCGACTAAAATGAAATTCCACACGAAGAACGTTTCTGAAAGCACGAAAAAAAATATTTTGATTGATTGATTTAACCCACATGGAGCAAATCAATTATTGCAGCTATTTTTGTTGCAGGCTTTAATATGCAAATTTAAAGAAAACTTGGCATTATTTCAAAGTGATCTTGACAGCACAAATGTTCAATACAACAAAATCAATCATTTGAAATCATTTTCAATATTTGTGAAGACATTACATTCTTCTTCTAAAGCTTATCAATGAATGAAAAAATGAGTTTTTCATTTTTATGTTCAAGTACTTTATTATCTTATAAGTTAGCTATAATACTGACTGAGACTAATATGAAGATACGATTCTAGAAATTTTCGAATAATCATCGTGTGCGAATTTCTTTTTTTTCAATGTAAAGTACAGGGTGGTGCAAAAGTCACTTAACTCAAAAGAAAATTGGATATCTCCATTACGGCTCGAGCAAATGAGCTGATTTTTTTCCCAATAATAGAGGCATGTACAAGCTATATATCCATAAAGACATGCCAAGAGAAACCCTTTGTTAAGTATATTGTTTTTTCTCCTATCTGTCAAAAAGTAAAACGTTTTTTGTTGAGATCAATAGTGATACTTAACAAAGGGTTTCTCTAGACATGTCTTTATAAATATGAAGCTTGAACATGCCTCTATTATTAGTAAAAAAATCAGCTTGTTTGCTCGAGTTGTAATGGAGATATTCAATTTTTATTTTGGTAGACTGGCTTTTGCACCACCCTGAATATGGCCCAAAAGTTACGATGCCAAGGAAAAATTAAATATCTCCGCTATGGTTCGAACAACCAGGCTGATTTTTTTACCAACAATGGAAGCATGCTCACACTTTAAATCCATACGGATAAGATTAGAGAGAGCCCTTATAAAGTATTACTAATGACCTCAATAAAATAATTTTACTTTTTCATAGGTAGAATGGAAAACAGTATACTTAACAAACGGCTTTTCTCTAGGCATGTCTTTATGGATATAAAGCTTGTACATGCCTCTGTCATTGGTAAAAAAATCAGTTCGTTTGCTCGAGCCGTAATGGAGATATTGAACTTTTTTTGGGTAAAGCGCCTTTTTTTTTCAGACTGTGAAAAATAAATTTTTCTTGTTGAGGTCAATAGTGATACTAAACAAAGGGTTTCTCTTGGCATGTCTTTATGGATATGAAGCTTGTACATGCCTCTATTATTGGGGAAAAGATCAGCTCATTTGCTCGAGCCGTAATGGAGATATCCAATTTTCTTTTGAGTTAAGTGACTTTTGCACCCCCCTGTATTTGTTTACATCTCCTTCTCCAGGAAAAAATGACACATTTAACTTACTTTTCTCAATGGCACCATGAATTTATTTTTCGTTCGCTTCTCTGATCATCATTACGTAATACATCAGTCAGAATATTCATTCAATAGTCAGATGATCACCTTATTCTCTTTTAATCGTATATAAACTGATGATTTCAAGAAAAATTAAATCATAATCAGGTGAAATAATTTTCTCGCTTATCGCAGTACAAGTAATTTACTAGGTATTATTTATGTGATATTGATACCAGTGAAATTAAAGAGGAAACTCAATAGAAATAAGAAAATATTGTCCATATTATATCTACCTTAAATACGACCAGAATATATATATATATATATACTTTTCTGTATTGAACAACATCAATCTATGCCACGAAAATATATAAGAACAACTCAAGCGAAATATTCAAATGAAGACCTGATGAAAGCTCTAAACGCAATTGAACATGAGAAAGTTTTAGCAATTCTTGCTGCTAAGCGTTTCAGAATACCTTCATTAACTATTTATAATCGTTTAGCTGATCGATTTACCGATACTGGACGTGGAGTCCAAACTATTTTATCAAAAGAAGAAGAAAGTTTTCTTATCCACGTAATTCATAATTTTCAAGAATGGCAACAACCTATGACTCCATCAGCTGTTAAAAGTATTGCAAAAGATTATATTATAAAACTTGGTCGCAACGACTACATGGATTCATCTTTAAAACAATGGTTTTATGGTCTTATGATGCGTTGGAAAAATGAATTGAAATTGACGAAAGATATTAAACTAGAAAAAAGGTTCAACTACTTGCACGAAAGAAGTTACTGGTGAGTATATGACATTCTTAGAAGTTTTTCTCATAGATCGATGTCTCAAAGCAGTACGAATCATAGAAATACTGATGACACAATATCCATTTGTAGTTAATTTTATATTACTCTTTTGAGGAATACTATTTGAGGTCTCTTTTTTTCTAACAAGTTGAGAATGTTTATGATATACATGTAGAATATTTTAATATTGATATCAATTAATATGAGTCTATCATATTGGTAGAAAAAAAAATTATTTTAAATTTCTAAATTGTTTTAGAAAAATGTTTTGATCATATACAATACGTTTTGGAAAAAAAACAAGTTATTCAATCGTCCTGATGCTATCTGAAATGTCGATGAGTCAGGATTCACCGACGATCCTGGTCGACAACAAGTAATTGTAAGAAGGTCAACAAAACACCCAACGTCATCTGATAGTAACTCTGGAAAAACTCATACTACTGTCCTTATATGTACTTCTGCTAGTGGAGAGTAAGATCTATTATTTGAATTTCATTTTACTATTAGATTTATTAATGCAGATATTTGCCTCCATACATTCTTCACCAAGGAGTTCGTTTGTACGACGCTTGATGTCCACTGAGCGGTTTTCCAGGTATGAGATATAATGTTTCACCCTATGGTTAGGTAGAAGTACCCATCTTTTACGATTGGCTGTCTCGTTAATTCATACCTGCCGTCGGATCTGTCAAACAGCCTGTTCTTCTGATTTATAATGGTCACTACACTCATATTTCAACACATATAATCAAACTGGCAATGGCTAACGGTGTGCAATTGGAATGCCTACTGCCTCATACTACAGCAATTTTGTAACCACTCAATGTTGTTACTCTGGTTAAAGTCAAGAAGGCTTGGCGACAATTATTGGATGTGGCTGTGGGTGTTAATCCTCTCATCATCTATTTTTTCACACCCACACCCCACACCCAAAAATATGAAGAAGAGAAAAATAAAGGATGCGTATAGAAGCAAGTAACACGAATAACGAATAGAGATGTGAAGGTATGGAGTTACATGTCTATAACAGAAATGTAGGCAGAAGAAAGCTAAAATAGAAACGCTGCACTTCGATTCACATGAATAGTTATAGAATTGCAAACAGATATGACTGAAGGACGATATGATTATGAGTTGTTGAGGTATATAATACATAGAAATCAACATCTGAAAATACTATATCATTAGTGACAAATAACGGCGATTTCCATCTTCTTTCTCTATTGGTATACTTGCAATGTCGTAGGAAGTTCCAGCCTTCCCAATCTTTTATATTCATATAACATAAATTAACGTTAAATTTAACATTTGATCGATCAGCTAGGTCTAAATCTGAATGAATGTGTAAAATGCAACAGCCACAGGGTGAAGATATAAAAGTTATTTTTTCGTGGTGTTAATGTACTCATATCATTATTCTTGGTTATTTGATCAAAATTGTTTCTTCGACCATTCTCTTGAACCTCATGGACCACGAGCGAAATTTTTACCGATTGTAAGCCATGATGTCCTCAGTCTGTGGTAAAAATTTCAGCTTTCTATCTCGTTGGCCCTGCCCGTAGTAAGGCATACAAGTATGACATGTTTTTGGCTGAGTTTTATCATAGCATCTGAGCATACCATCAGGTATAGTCATTCTTATGCTGCTTTTTCGTTACAGTTTTAATAATAAATAGCTAGAGTAGATCAGAATCAGTGTTTTGATGTATGGGAATTGATATAACTTGTTGCTAGTCTCAATAAACAGACTTGGATAACAAAAACATGAAAAAAAATGCTTATTTGAAAAAATGTATAAAAATTATGAACAATGTTATGGTTCTCATATTCCACCAATACAAGCTATAAGGCTGAAACTTTGGGAAAGTCATATTGGCTATGCCAGCTACAACATATTAAAAAAGCACCCCAATCAGAGATGGTCAACTGCCAACGTCGTACTGCAAGCGTCTGATTTTCTCAGATGCTCACTCTTAATATAGAAATAAATGCCTTTTTGTTATGCTACTCTTGATGAGACTTTTAACCACGATAGACCATTGAACCAGAAGTATATATTGTATGGTTGTAATCGATCGGTATCGTATCTTCGGTGTCGATGTATTTTATTCTAGGACTAAAATACTGGCATAATTATGGATTTTTATAAATGATAATACAACACTGAATAAAACATCTGCACATCGAAGATCTTATTAGTAATAAAATGGATCATAGCTCACGTTAAGTTTCTTTTTAAATCAGAAATATTTTAATGCCATTGATATTTGTTTCTTTGGAGAAATTTGCAAGGTCTTGTGTCATCAATCTTTTTTTTACAAACGTATATTAAAACGTCTTGAATGCTCACAAGCGACCGATTCCTGTGAATGACGACTATTTACGACACAACGATTTATGTTTATGATCTAGTGGTCTAATAAACGACGGAATATGGTGATTAACGAACGTTGGCGTCACATTTGCAATCATCTGCGACGGCTTAGTTATTATCTTTAGTTAATGGCACCGTCGAATACGATACGATTCATATATATCATAAGCATTGTTTTCGATGAAAAATTAATGAAAAAAAATCATGCACTATGGCATCATATTTTGTTGTACTATAGCTTATCTCTGTGAGCAGGTAAATATTTTTACTTTCTTATACAACAACAATTAAGTCGTTGTTGGTTTATTTAGTATTAGTTTCATCATAAGTCTTGCTCTAATATGCCTAGCATAAATATTGGTTTCGTGTATAAATACAAGCCTATTTTTTCCATTCTCAAAAGCAGTTTTAAACGAAGAAAATGAACATCTTTCTCCTTATCATCTTGGTTTTTACTTTTTTGTCGTCAACAAGTGACGTTGATGCAGCTATGATTGATTCATCTAGCAATACATTTATTGATGCGCAATATTTTCATTATCGTTCTATTTTAAAACCTTATTATACTGTTGATCCATATGGTTTCAATGGAACTATAGAATATTTTAAAATTCCTGATCTTCAGTTTACATTTAATCATTCAACACCCTTACTGTATGAATTACAATTCCAAGGTTCATGTTCATCATTGATAAAAAATGCCCAAACATTAATTCAATTTAGATATGATAATCGATGGGTTACAAATTCATTAGAATTGTGGAGTCCCATTGAGGGATTTTTGACATTATGTCACAAATATGCTCGCGTTTATTTGCCAGCTGGCTTCCACACAATTGATTTTGAAGTTCGAACAACTGGTAGAATAATAATTTACTTTGGTGAATTATACATTAAACTAACACAATTTAACCCAAATTCACAAACTAATTTACAACTACTAGACTTGAAATAATCAGTCAAAATATAGACATTTCTTATCACTCTTTTTTCTGCTTATATATGTATATTAAAACAACCTTATGAGGGACTATCTTTCAATGTATTGTTTACGAAAACATTTTTGCAGAAATAAATTCAAGAAAGCTACAACTAAGAAGAAAGTGTTTGTGATGAAAAATAAATAAAAGAAAGAAGCAATGTGGTAACTACATAATTGTGCATTTAACAAAAGACAATGGAGAGCATCAGTGATAGCTAGTACCGTCATGAAAGCATGTAGACTTACGAATACACACTCAATATGTCATATAAGTGAAATACCAGAAAGTCATATAGTGAGAAATATAGCCAAATGAAAAGTCATTTAGTGATTGATAATATAATATTTTCAAACGTGAAAAGAGATGCACAAAAAGATTTCTCTTGAACACTGATGCTAATTGATTATCAGCAATTGTCAAGGGGGAAAGTGCTAGTATCGTGCACCTAAAATGCTGATAGGTGCTGAACAGGTGCTCAGGTGCTGAGCAGATGTTGAGGTGCTGAGAAGGTGCTGAGAAAGTGCTGAGGTGCTGAAAAGGTGCTGAGAAAGTGCTGAGGTATTGAGAAGACGCCGGACGAATACTGAGGTATTATTAGAGTTTAAAAGATATTATTATACGCTTAACTGCTATTATTATGATGGACTAACAGCGCTCTCTATAGATTCACTTGTGTATCCAATCTTAATGAACATTCTGTGTGAGCAATCAGCTTTTTTACCTATTTCTATCTACTTTTTAACTCAGCTTTACTGGGAAAAGAAACTCCTTGCCACAGTCTTTTGTAACATGAAGAAGAGCTTTAGAGTTAAAAATTAAATAAAAATCTTCATAGCATATCTTGCCTGACAACATTAACTCTTTATAAATTAGAATGTAGCAGTAGTTCAGAGAAAAATTGGAAAATACCTATACATTATGGTTTTCTGTGATAGATTCACCATCAACCGAATAGCACATATGCAGATCTCTTATCGTATGCTATTATTTATTTCAATGTAGATTGATGATCTGTGTAGATTTTTCATAATGAATCTATTTATTTAAGATAAATATTCAATTTCTCATGCCATTAGTAATTCCTGAAAAACGAAACAGCAACAGTTTACCAGATGATATTTTTAGTTATAATCAAGATAAATTTTACGAATTTGTTGAACATTGGTATGGTAATGATCTTGCCCCAAGGGGAAAAGTGCAGGTTCCTAGCACCAAATTTGCTTTGGAATACTGAGCAGGTGCTGAGGTGCCGAGAAGGTGCTGAGGTGCTCATACATATTTGGCATTAGACTGAAAATCAAGGTAATAGCTATGAAGAAGACTCAGACTATTCCGAATCGACTTTTTCGATCAAAGCAAGAGTTTTTCGAGAAAATAACGATTTTTGATAAAACTTGACTAAAGGCTTTCGGGGTCAAGGAACCCGAATCTGTAGTTGGTTTATCAAAATTCTCGAGTTCATTTTTTTTCAATCAGTAGAGTTCTATTTCAAGACAGGCTTTCTCTCATCGAAAAAAAAATCGAACTCGAGAATTTTGAGAAACCAACTATAGATTCGGATTCCTCGACCCCGAAAACCTTCAGTCAAGCTTTTTATAAAAAATCGTTATTTTCTCGAACAACCCTTGTTTTGACCGAAAAAGTCGATTCGGAATAGTCTCAGTTAGGAGTGAGAAGTTATTGTTATTGGTTGTTATTAATAACAAATCAATAGCAAATCCTAATGTATGAAGGTACCCTTAGGTGCTCATCTCCTATTATATGGAGGTACCCTTAGGTCCTCATGCCTACTACCTGAAGGTATCCTTGGGTCCTACTATCTGAAGGTACCCTTGGATCCCCATATCCTATTATATGCAAGTACCCTTAGGCGCTCATATCCTATTATCTCAGGGTATCTTTGAATCCTCATCTCCTATTACGTGAAGGTATCCTTAGGTCCTCAAGTCCTATTATATACGCGTATCCTTAGGTTCTCAAATCCTACTATATGAAGGTACCCTTGGGTTCTCATCTCCTATTATATGAAGGTACACTTAGGTCAGTAGAGGGATGTAACAATCCTAATACTTCCGATACCAATACCATTTGGCATTAGTGGTATTGATAGTTTGCAAAGGAATATCAACGTTGAAAATTTCGAAAAACTAATGGTAGATTCGAATTTCTCGATCCGGACAGCCGTTGTTCAAACTTTATATAGCACCACTGTTTTTAGGTAGAAAAGCCCTTCCTTGACGAAAAAAATCAAAAACATAAAATATGGAAAGATTAATTTTATGTTTTTATTTTGCGTCAGTGAAAGGTTTTTTTCATAAAGTTGGATCAAAGTTTGGCGGCGTTGCAGAATTCGAATCTATGATGAGTTTTTCAAAGTACTCAAGTTTGTCTTTTCTTTGCACACTACCAATGCCACCCATACTATTGCAAGTATTAGCATTGTTGCATCCCTGTGCTGACCTATTGGTAGCATTATACCATAGTACTTGAGAACCTCAGAGGCTCTCCATGTAATAGCTCTGGACAGGGGTGGGGGGTCGATGACTCGGAAGGTCGACCGAAAAATTTTCGCTAAAACTTACCGGATTGAGGGGGGGAGGAGCGACTTTTTGAGAATCGGTGAGCAAAAAAACGAATAAAATTCTGCAACTTTGCTGGGAAAAAACGAAAATTTCTCAAGATTCGGGAGGAGGGAGGAATCCCCCCGCGACAGCTCTGGCTCTGGGGGACCAAGGGTAATTGTCTATAATAGGATATGACGACCTAAAGGTACCTCCATATAATAGGAGATGAGGACCCGCGGGTACCTTCGTATAGTAGGAGATGAGGACCTAAGGGTACTTCCATATAGTAGGAGATGAGGGCTAAAGGGTACCCTCATATAGTAAGAGATGAGGACCCGCGAGTACCTTCGTATAGTAGGAGATGAGGACCCAAGGGTACCCACATATAACAGGAGATGAGGATCTAAGGGTACTGCCATATAATAGGAGATGAGGGCCTAAGGGTACTTCCATATAATAGGAGATGAAGGTCTAAGGGTACCCCATATAATAGGAAATAAGGACCTAAGGATACCTTCATTTAATAGGATTTGTTATTAATCTGTTATAAATAACAATAACAATAAATTCACATCCCTAGTCGCAGTCTTCTTCATAGCTATTACCTTAATTTCCAGTCTAATGTCAAATATGTATGAGCACCTCAGCATCCACAGGTGCCGAACAGGTGCTGAGGTGCTGAGAAGGTGCCGAGGTGCTGAGCAGGTGCTGAGGTGCCAAATCTGTACTTCCCCCTTGGCAATTGTTATTGGTTGACTACGATCATAATAAAAATTGAATAATACATAGAGCAATTGACGGGAAAGTCCTTTCGATTCTCAAACATAGATATAAAAAAACTTGTTAGCGCAGCCCCTTTGGGGCTGAAATGTGAAACTCACATATATCCTCTAGCCTCACTAAACGAATACAAAATACCTAAAATGAAAAATCTCTCGTAGACTACAGTTGTTTTGCAGGACAATCGAACATAAGAGTAAAGACCTCTCGAATTTCTGCATTTGGAACAGAAATCTTTTATTTTTTTCGTCGGACGCCTTATGTTTTTCTTTTATATTGTTGCTATTCGCTCATTATTTTTCTTTTTTTTCTTCGTTTTTGTTAATTTAACATTCTTATTATTATAATCATTGAATTGATTGACAAATAGGTCTGTTTTACACATACATGATACCTACAGCAGATCTTAGGCACTATTATATATGGTAAACCTGAATTTGATAGAAAGTGAAAATGTCGAAAAACAAAAATGTCGAGAGGTAAAAATGTCGAAAGACTATGCACGAGACTGGAAAAAGAAAAGATATTGTTGTATTGTTTTATTAAAGATTTTGGTTCTAGTCCAGGTTACTCACAGGCTTCACTGCAGCAGTGTCACAGATCCACGAAATCGAGGATCTCAGAGGTCTTCATGGAGATGTTATATATACAAGCATTTTCACCCTACTCATATATTACACATATCTGATATTAGTCTTTATCTCTACAAGAGATACCGTATCTCTGATCAGATCTCTGTAAGAGATGCCACATCCCCAGGATTTACATCTCCTTAT